TAATGTATTTATATTAAGAACACTGAAGAGTATATATGTTAATAAAGCCCCTCATGTCTCCCCCACCTCCTCCTCGCCCCTCTCCCCCAGTAGCTGCGGGCCGGAGGCGAGGCCGGCAGACCTACAGCCGGTACCAGACCCTGGAGCTGGAGAAGGAGTTCCTCTTCAACCCTTACCTGACCCGGAAGCGCCGCATCGAGGTGTCGCACGCGCTGGCGCTGACGGAGCGCCAGGTCAAGATCTGGTTCCAGAACCGCAGGATGAAGTGGAAGAAGGAGAACAACAAGGACAAGTTCCCCAGCAGCAAGAGCGAGCAGGAGGCGGTGGAGCGGGAGAGGCGGGAGAAGGAACTGCGGGAGTCCGGCGCGGGGAGCGGCGGAGGCGGCGAGGAGGGAGGCGGAGGGGCGGGAGCCGTGGGGTCCCAGGGCCCCRTGAGCGAGGACTGCTGCGAGAAAACCCACAAACAAATGTAGGCAATGACAGCGGAACTGGACGGAGGGGGGGGATTTGGGTGAAACCTAATAGGCAGGGGTGATGGTGGGTGAGGTTTTTGCTTTGGTCCCTTCAAGACTCATCAGATGAGTCTGCAACGACAAGCTGTGAGTTGGACGGGCTGCAGGGGGTCTGCTGACTGTAAAAACCACAGAAAAATAAATAAAATAAAAATAATAATAGATAAAAAGAGCTGTGAAGCGCCTAAAGACCCCAGCAGCGCTAAGTGAATCAAACTGATTTGGGTGGAGCTAACCAATCAAACGCAAGTGTAGCCTATCCCCCCACACCCCATCTCCCTCTCAAAAAATAAAATAAAAAAAGAATAAAAATAACTTAATTTCTTTGTGGAACAAGTATCGTGGAACATTTCTATATTGTTAGAAGTTTATCATTAACAGTTCATCTTTGGCAGCTGTATAGTTTTTAAGTTAAAAAAAAAGATAATGGTGCACTTTTTACTGTAATTCTCACGTCAGTGTTCTTGTTGTTATGGCTATAATTAACTGATAATGTTGAAGGTGATGACGTAGCGATTAATGAAATTTTCCAACAACATGAAACTGCCTATTTATGCTGTTTTAGTAGGTTGGGTCTCTTTTTTACACACTCCTATCATTCTAGTTCGTTTTTGACCTTCTGTCAATGATGTTTGTTTTATGTTGTATTCCTATATGTTTTTAAAAAAAGGGTTAGAAAGCATGTGCACAGTGCAGATTAAAAAAGAGAACATTCTTAAAAATAAAAAAAGTCTTTTGAAAACAAAAGCTTTCTGGATCTAATTTAACAAGTTATTGAGGAGTATAGTGGTTATGTGCTGTTTTATTTTTATAAATGGAAACTATTTCTTCATGTTTCTATCTTTTAATTGGTGCAGACAGTGGTGGCTCCAGANGAGAGAGAGAGAGAGAGAGAGAGAGAGAGAGAGAGAGAGAGAGAGAAAATATGAAACAACTCATTTGCAAAGGAGTAAATCACGGAAAAGGCGTTTGAGAAGCGGCAGGGCTCCTGGTTAGAGCGCGAACACAGGAGCTGTGATGCGCAGGAGCCGTTCCTCCTGCTTCAGCTGCTTCTTCTCCTCTTTTTCTCCTTCTTCTCCGGGGACCTGATGGAACCGCTGTGATTACTGTGTTTTCTTCTTGTTGTTGTGCTTGTTTGAGGCTGCTTCTCCTCCAGGCTTCACTCACTGCGCGTCTGTTGTGGCTGGAAGGAAAACACCGACAGCAGTAGCAGAGCCGCTTCTCTTCACCTCCTCTTCTTCTTCTTCTTCTTCCTCCTCCTCCTCCTCTTCACTGTGAGTGTGTGTCGTTGTGGCCCCAGAAGAGAAGCAGCAGAAACAAACAAACAAAAGACAGAAAGAAAGAAAAGAAAAACGCACGAACACATCTGAAAGTCACCAGTCTCGAGCTTTTTCCCTGACTCTGCCGAGCCGAACTGAAAACAAACAATAACAAACCCAAAAGATGAGTTCTTATTTCGTGAACTCACTCTTCTCCAAATATAAAAGCGGGGATTCGTTACGTCCGAACTACTACGAGTGCGGTTTTGCACAGGACCTGGCCGGCAGCCGGCCCACCGTGGTGTACGGCCCGGGCTCCGGCGCCACCTTCCAGCACGCGCCGCAGATCCAGGACTTTTATCACCACGGCGCCTCCTCGCTTCCCAGCAACCCTTACCAACAGAGCCCCTGCGCGGTCACATGCCACGGAGAGCCGGGCAACTTTTACGGATACGACGCCTTGCAGCGACAGACGCTCTTCGGGGCCCAGGACGCGGACCTGGTCCAGTACAGTGACTGTAAGCTGGGGGGCGCGACGGGACTTGGAGGCGAGGACACGGACGGGACCGAGCAGAGCCCCTCACCGACGCAGCTCTTCCCCTGGATGAGGCCACAAGGTGAGGAGACTGGGAACAGTGGGGGGCCATTTCTGAACAGGTCATGTCAACTAAAACAAGAATAAAAATAATAGTAGGCCTAATTATATAATTAAATTAAAAAAAGGGTATGAGGGACTTAACTGCTGCTCCTTTAAGGCAGAGAAAACAGAAGAGAGAGTTGGAAAACGGAGGCAGGAATGTTGGAAAACAAGATTTAAACGCAAAGACGGCGGAGCTCCGCGCGCTCAGAGCGCAAACAGTTAGAAATAAAAAAAAGTGATTTATGAAACCTTTTGGGTTGATTCGGCCTAAACAGAGCAAAGACAGGATGGAAACAAAAAAAAAATAGAGGAGAGCTTTCTGAAAGGGGGGTTCAAACAAAGAACGGAACCCCCCCCCCCACCCCTTCCCCCAGTAAACTGAGAGGACTCTGTTCTGAGCAGAAGCTTGTTTCCAGACACCGAGACCCATTTTACAGAAGGAGCTGTGACCCGCCTTCAACTTTTACTGCTGCTGCCTTTACTGCTCCGCGTCACACCGTGGACAGATAGACAGATAGATAGATAGATAGATAGATAGATAGATAGATAGATAGATA